GGACATGCCATGGGGTCGCACCGCGGGACGTGCCAAGGGGACGCGCTACGGAACGTGCCAATGGATGTGCCACGGGATGTGCCAGGGGACGCGCCACGCGACGTGCCAGGGAGACTCGCCAAGGGACGCGCCACGGAACGTGCCAAGTTGCAATGCTGAGTGTATCGATCTTGATGTACCGTGCCGAATTTTTGTGCTGTGCTGCGCCGTGCTGAATTGCGATTCGCCATGCCGCGATTGTGCTCTATAGCCTCGTGGATCGAGTCCTCCTACCCTGGACAGTGTGGACCTGGGAAGCCTAATCTATAGGCACATACGTAAGAACACACGGATTCGCTGGGGGCCTGGATTACGCTGGATCGTCGTCGTCGTCGCCGCCGCCGCCACCGCGACGTCGTCGTCGTCGCGCTGTCCTCGATCCCTCGATCGTGTAAGCGTGGGCTCTACAGACCCCCAAGAGACCCTCCAAGAGAACCCCCGGAGACCCCCCCACGCAAGGCTCTAAGATGAGACTTTGTCGTCGTCGTCGCCGCCGCCGCCACCGCGACGTCGTCGTCGTCGTCGTCGCGCTGTCCTCGATCACTCGATCGTGAAAGCGTGGGCTCTACAGACCCCCAAGAAACCCTCCAAGAGAACCCCGAGACACCCCACGCAAGGCTCTAAGATGAGACTTTGTCGTCGTCGTCGCCGCCGCCGCCACCGCGACGTCGTCGGATCGTGAAAGCGTGGGCTCTACAGACCCCCAAGAGACCCTCCAAGAGAACCCCAAGACACCGCTCCACGCAAGGCTCTAAGATGAGACTTTGTCGTCGTCGTCGCCGCCGCCGCCACCGCGACGTCGTCGTCGTGGGCTCTACAGACCCCCAAGAGACCCTCCAAGAGACCCCCCACGCAAGGCTCTAAGATGAGACTTTGTCGTCGTCGTCGCCGCCGCCGCCCTGTCCTCGATCCCTCGATCGTGTAAGCGTGGGCTCTACAGACCCTCAAGAGACCCTCCAAGAGAACCCCAAGAGACCCCCCCACGCAAGGCTCTAAGATGAGACTTTGTCGTCGTCATCGCCGCCGCCGCCGCCACCGCGACGTCGTCGTCGTCGTCGCGCTGTCCTCGAGCCCTCGATCGTGTAAGCGTGGGCTCTGCAGACCCCCAAGAGACCCTCCCAGAGAACCCCCGGAGACCCCCCCACGAGAGGCTCTAAGATGAGACTTTGTCGTCGTCGTCGTCGCCGCCGCCACCGCGACGTCGTCGTCGTCGTCGCGCTGTCCTCGATCACTCGATCGTGAAAGCGTGGGCTCTACAGACCCCCAAGAGACCCTCCAAGAGAACCCCGAGACACCCCACGCAAGGCTCTAAGATGAGACTTTGTCGTCGTCGTCGCCGCCGCCGCCACCGCGACGTCGTCGTCGTCGTCGCGCTGTCCTCGATCACTCGATCGTGAAAGCGTGGGCTCTACAGACCCCCCAGGAGACCCTCCCAGAGAACCCCAAGACACCGCTCCACGCAAGGCTCTAAGATGAGACTTTGTCGTCGTCGTCGCCGCCGCCGCCACCGCGCGTGGGCTCTACAGACCCCCAAGAGACCCTCCAAGAGACCCCCCACGCAAGGCTCTAAGATGAGACTTTGTCGTCGTCGTCGCCGCCGCCGCCCTGTCCTCGATCCCTCGATCGTGTAAGCGTGGGCTCTACAGACCCTCAAGAGACCCTCCAAGAGAACCCCAAGAGACCCCCCCACGCAAGGCTCTAAGATGAGACTTTGTCGTCGTCATCGCCGCCGCCGCCGCCACCGCGACGTCGTCGTCGTCGTCGCGCTGTCCTCGAGCCCTCGATCGTGTAAGCGTGGGCTCTGCAGACCCCCAAGAGACCCTCCCAGAGAACCCCCGGAGACCCCCCCACGAGAGGCTCTAAGATGAGACTTTGTCGTCGTCGTCGCCGCCGCCGCCACCGCGACGTGGTCGTCATCGTCGCGCTGTCCTCGATCCCTCGATCGTGTAAGCGTGGGCTCTACAAACCGTCAAGAGACCCTCCAAGAGAACCCCAAGAGACCCCCCCACGCAAGGCTCTAAGATGAGACTTTGTCGTCGTCGTCGTCGCCGCCGCCGCCACCGCGACGTCGTCGTCGTCGTCGCGCTGTCCTCGATCCCTCGATCGTGTAAGCGTGGGCTCTACAGACCCTCCAGAGACCCTCCAAGAGAACCCCAAGAGACCCCCCCACGCAAGGCTCTAAGATGAGACTTTGTCGTCGTGGTGGACGCCGCCGCCACCGCGACGTCGTCGTCGTCGCGCTGTCCTCGACCCGTCGATCATGTAAGCGTGGACTCTACAAACCGTCCAAGAGAACCCCAAGAGACGTCGTCGTCGTCGTCGTCGTCGTCGTCGTCGTCGCCGCTCCCAGAGCCTTCGGGGCCTCTCCTTGGCCCTCCTACGGAAAATCCTGCAAAACCTAGCGAATTAGTCGAGACATCCTCGAAATTCCTGCGCGCTGGACGCGGCACGCGCGAGACAT